AAAACACACCACAAGCCTCACTGAACGTCTCCTTGCTACCGCGACCTCGCCCACAGGAAGCTGCGACTGCATGGCAGCAGGGAAAATGGCTGCGGATCTGGTTCGTAAGTCGAGGCGAGTTCATAACCCAAGGTAATTTTTTCCTGCCGAAGCTGGTCGTAACCCGAAATGTTCGTTAGTAGAGGCGTTTGTATCCCGAGGTACCACTGTAATCATTACTACAAAATTCCTAAGGACACAGAAAGAGATCGTAGAATAATTTGAAAATCTAGGTTGCTCAATCTAATATTACCAAAGACCAAATTTCCCTTATCTATCATTGGCTAATCAATGCAACATATAGACAAGCAGTTGATTTAAAGATACATGGGGGAGAAACCTTAATACATATTAACTTGCTACAATAAATAAAATATTGAGAGAAATAGATGAATGAGGAACTTATTACAAACTGAGCCACAGTGGGGACATCCCTGTTGACTAAGTGTGGTATCTTTACAAATCAAGCCAACTATGCTAAAATGCTTCAAAGGTTACACCAATCTGCTAGATGGGATATGTGACAAAGGGCTATTTAATTCAGAAATAGATGAATTATCTAATAGTTGCTGAATTCTTACCATAAGATGTGCAATTGAAATGGTAGATCAATACAATACAATGTTATTGATGGGTACAAACCGTAAAGTAGCTGTACACTATGAAGATTGTCAGTATGCAAATATTTGGATAAACTATAGGAGAGTTTGCTTTTAGAAAGACTCAAGCAGAAAACTGGCTAAAAGGACTGAACAATTTGACCCTTTAATCAATTTCATATTCATTTACAGAATGGTATTATAAGAATATGGGCTAGAGGTTACTCAGTTTAAATTCTGGAGACATGATTAACATGATTTTTCATGTTATGGATCAGTTTCTAGCATATACTGACATTGGGTACATTGACTGCATATACATTGCTACTGATGTACTGGTTTTTGCAAAAGATATTATTGAATATAGCTCTTTTTGTTGATATGGACTGAATATGTGTGTGTGTAAAGTGCTTACAATCTAGATGTTAGGCAGAAATGTACCAAAATCAGAGTAACAAAAGGGATGTATATAAGCAAACATAAGTGTGTGTACTTGGGTTACATTCAGATAGGATTAAAGTGATTATATTAACTATTGAGAAGCATTATGTAAGGAAAAGGATAGTCACCACCAGTAAGTGTGGTGGCAAAAAATCCGTGGTTGAAGGACAGCAGACAGAAAGTCTGAGTACTGTAGAACCTCCCCACTCCACAACCCCATTAATCAATATAAGCTGTCCCATTTCAATCAATAGTTTAATGTAACTCTTGTGTTCACTCTTTTGGAAGCTATCAGCCAATTATTTACAAATAACTTATTTTCCTTAAAGACTTTAGTTCAGCATGAAAGTAAGTTTCATCAGAATGCTAATTTGTGCATTTGTCCAATGATTACATCCTTCTGATTTTAAAAGACATCCATTGATTGCCAGGGGTTTGGGGACTTAATTCAAAATATCTTTAAAGCTTCTTGTCTTGCTATGAACCTGTTGAGCTCTTAAGATCTTCAGGAGAGGCCTTTTGAAAGAAGATGCAGAGTTTTCTCTGGAGTACATGAAGAGCTATTTTCCCCAACTGCTCTCCAATTATGGAATATGCTTTCTTTTGAACTAAAGTTCAGACATGTTTCTCCTGTTTTTAATGTTTCCCCCTATTTTTTCTTGAAATACCGCCTTGGATTTCTTTGTGAAAGGTGGTATATAAATGCCTCCAATACATAAAATTAAGATAATTTTGTAAGAATGTATTTCTTAGGACATCACTTTACCAGTGGCAGATTTTTGAAACATGGGAGTTTAAGAGTTAAGTCCCAGTTTTTCTTTCTGCCTCTTCTTTGCAGGCTCGTCGTATTCTAGACATTACTCCTGTGAAGGAACTTGTGAACCTGAAGTGGAACACATATGGGCGTCCTTATTTCTATTTCCTGGCTCTGTTTTATGTCCTCTATATGATCTGCTTCACGATGTGCTGTGTTTATAGACCACTGAAAAGTCGTCCAGACAATCAGACGGGCGAGCGGGATAACACCATCCTTGTGCAGAAAACACTGCAGGTACATTGGTATATAAATACAGGTTTCTCCGTGAATCTAGGGAAATTGTAAAACAACTCTCTTCAAAATGCAGTACAGAAGAATCGACAAAGTTAAATAAAATTTTTAACTTTGCAAAAACTCTTTTTGAAAATGCTCCAAGAGGCCATGAATAAAAAGGCCGCCACACTCCTAAGAACCCCTTCAAGATGAGAAGACTTTCACTCAATTTACCAGTGAGGCTCTGGCTTTGACTAGTCTTTCTGGAATGAATGATCCCCAACTGCAGTGTCATTGTCTGATCTTGGCAATAAAGACAATGGTCTAATTTCTTGAAAGATGAAAACATGAAAGAAGGTCTTTCCTTGTGATCTGATGGGCAAGAGAAGTTATTGGACTGCACTTTTTCAGTCTGTAAATGGAAATTAGCTTTTTTTTTTTTACAACACTCCCTGCTAAAAGCAAGGTAGCAAAGGAAAGATTCTGCTCTAGTTCTCTCACTGGTATACAGTATTTAGTGTATATTCAGGAAGGATTTTAGGAGGGACACATGTTACTTGCGGTTCGCCTTTCCAGTAACAGTTTTACTATCAAGTCAAAGTTTAATGCTGCCAAAAGGTAAATAATTAAATAAAATTAAACCAGTTTCAGGTTTTTTGGGACTTTCTCATCTCTTTAACCAGGGTTTTTCCTATTTTTAGGAATCATATCTGACATATGAGGATCAACTCAGGCTGGTGGGGGAGTTAATTACAGTGATAGGAGCCATGGCAATTTTACTCCTAGAGGTAAGGACGAAAGAATAAAGCTCTATTAAGCTGATCTTAAGTATACCAATACCAGTTTGGCAGTTCCATTTACCATTTGAGAGACACTGTGTTTTGAGAAGGTATACCAAAGCAATCGTATGTTATCTGAAATCAGTATAATTGTCTTGAAAAACATGATGCTACAGATACTATCAGTATTTCTGGCTTCCCTGTTGGGAAATATCCAGAGCTAAAGTTAGTTTTGGAAATGGTTAAAATAAATAATTACAGTTGAGCTGATTGTAGCGGAATATAGCCAGTAACTGTTGCAGGATCTGCACACAATAAAATAATTGATCAATATTATGGTTTGTCTTAAAATTTCTTAAAATTACTGCCCTGCTAAATTTTACTGGCTTAGGCCATTTTAGATTTTAAAATTATACCCTTTATGGAGCATATTCCCTCCAATACCTTTTCATCTCATGCCCCAGTTCTTCCTAGCCTTCCTTGAACCCTTCAACTTAAATTATATTTTGCTTCCTTCCCAACACATGGTCTTTCTACTACACCTCTCCAGTTTTAGCATCTTTTTGCCTTTTGCTTGTTTAATCACCAGTATTTGAATACCTCTCTTTTGAATGCCCTCATTCTGCAACATCATTGATCTAACCCAAATGAAAAACTTAGCAAGTAGTTTAGATCACTGACTTATCAGGGTGTTGCTGACTAGTGAAAAGCAGGCAACATTTTTGCTTGCTACTAGTTGTAATGTATAGGTTTCCTTTTATAGATCATATCAGGTATTAAAGGCATTGTCCTTGTAACGGCTTGTTTTTCTCTATTTTTTCTTTGACTTGGGCACAAAATATGTTCTGAACTCCCTGTAGTGTTGAATCAATTTCTAGGAGTGGACTGAGCATGTTGGTCATTTCAGCCTTCAGTTGAAGTGGTTGATGGTTATAAGTTTTTGATATGTAATTCATTTTTTATAGATTCCTGATATTCTAAGAGTTGGAGCCACAAAGTATTTTGGACAAACTGTCCTGGGAGGACCTTTCCACATAATAATGTGAGACTCTACATTTCCAAAACTTACAAATATTCTTTTTTCTTATACATACTCGGCCATTGTTACTTTCCTCTCACCGTTTTTCTCTTCCATTTCTATCTACTTCAACTCTGGATTTCTTTCCTAACATCTGTTTAAATTCTCTCTGCAGGATTTGTCTTCTGCTACCCTTCATTTTTCATTAGCTCCTTAAGGTTTTTTAAAGTCTTTTGGTTTACTTTGACATTCCTCAAATACTTGGAGGAATCCACACATCCAAATTTTATTTCAGGCAAAATCAAATGCCCAACCCAAGAAGCTATGCTAATCTCCTGAGAAATTTGGAATTCCTCAGATGTTTCAACCTGGGAAATAAATATTGAATGCATTAAAATTGGCAGCAAGCAATTTCTCAGAAGAAATGGCTTGCTCCATCTCAAGTGAAAGTACACTCTTCATCCTATGAATACACATCAGCATATATTTATGTGCATCATTGGCTCATATATGTTTTCATATATATGGCTCATTCTGCTTTAATTAATTTTAGGTTGTATTAATTAATTAATTACTGACTATCATTCATTCTTCATTCACTTAATTATACTTTTCATTTACAGCATTACATATGCCTGTGTGATCTTGATAACCATGGTAATGCGACTGACAAGCACAGAAGGAGAAGTGGTCCCTATGTCCTTTGCCCTGGTGCTGGGCTGGTGCAACATCATGTATTTTGCACGAGGCTTCCAGATGCTTGGGCCCTTCACCATCATGATACAGAAGGTAAGGAAAATATAACTAAATTCTGAAGGCAAATGGAGAGAGAATTCTATTTCTCTCAGAAGTACATCTTTTCCAGTAATTGGAACTGGGGGTTTAAAGGTCAGACAATAGTGGGTGGGAAAAAGAAGAGCTGGGGAAAAGTTCGATATTATAACATATTGTTCTACCTTTTCTACAGATGATATTTGGTGACCTTATACGTTTCTGTGGGCTAATGGCTGTTGTGATATTTGGCTTTGCCTCAGGTAAGACTTAAAGAAAGGTGTGAACTTCCAAGATCATTCCAGTATTCTTTGAACGTGCAGTCTGAGAATCTGTTTATAATGTCCTTATTATGCTATTATTGAAGAGATTTTTCTTCTCCAGTGAAAAATCTTATTTTCTCTATATTTCCAGGGTTCTTTGTTTTTAATTGTACCCACATTTTTGTAATAGCAATGGCTTTCATGAGAACCCTGGAACTTTATGGAAGCTTAAAGGAGTACCACAGCGAGAAATCAATATTAGAAGAAAATGATATCTAAAAAATATTTGCTATTCATTGCTGAGTTTTCTCTGCCATGCACATGGAAGTGCTGGGCTATGTTCAGTGAATTTGGACAATACGCCAGCTTAACAATATTGACTGGTGTCTTCTTTGAACACGAAATTCATCCCAAAATGCATTATAATTTTGGGGCAGTACACTCTTAAATATTAGTGGAAGAAATGGAGGGATAAACAGTAGAAGAAATTGTTGTCAGTCTCTTGGTGGCCATTGTTAAAACTGGGAGAGACAGATCCTTTGCTCTAATCCAGCATGGTTCTTATTTTTGCAGATTCTATAAGCCATGTATTGAGGTTTCTTGTATAACCTTTTATAAACGGAGTGTCCTGAAGATGCAAAATTTAAAAGCCACTGCTTTAGATGATGCTTTACTCTGAGCCTTCCTGTTGTTCTGGCTGCTCCATAACTTTTTAGAAAATACATTATTACATACTATTGCCTACTGAACACACTTCATGGTAGACTTAGCTCCTTTTCATCCATATCTCTATTTATATATCACATGCTTAAATTTCCACAGCATTGACTATGGTGTCATGATGTGCTTACACAAATATTCAAGCTATGGAAGAGAAGAAAATAATTTATATGTCTGTCTTAGAATTTTCATGAGAATTAAATAAGAGAATTATTAACTTTCAGGATAAGTAACTTACAGAGAAGACATCAGTAGAAAGAGAGTTAAAGAATTAAGATTCTAGAGTGGTTGAAAGAACAGGAATAAAGTAAGATGGGGATGACATTATCTGGTTTCATGTATGTGAGTGTGTATGTGTATGTAGCTGACTGCTCATTTTTGTTTCATCACCAGCTTTCTACATCATCTTCCAGACAGAAAATCCGAGCAATTTGGGACAATTCTACAATTATCCCATGTCTCTCTTCAGTACCTTTGAGCTCTTCCTTACCATCATAGATGGACCTGCCAACTATGATGTAGATCTGCCATTCATGTTCAGTGTGGTGTATGCTGCCTTTGCCATCATTGCTGCTTTGCTCATGCTCAATCTGCTCATTGCCATGATGGGTGACACTCACTGGCGAGTAGCTAATGAACGGGATGAGCTTTGGCGAGCACAGGTGAGATTATAGTCACGCGGCACAGCAGTGTCTATTGAGAAGTCACCTATTCTTGCTTTGGACATGTCTGCACTGGAAATTTAGACCACTTTGCAGTGGGTTTAGTTGCCATGGCTCCTCAAGCATTTCTGAGGTTTGTGACTCTAAAAGGGACTTGGGTGTTGTAATCCAGAATTCTTAGCCCTTCATAATTCTCCAATATGTGTAATATATTCTTCCAATATATGGAAGAGATCGTAATCATTAAATAAACTAGTCTAGGTTAAGATAGAATTGTAATACTGATGTACCCTTATACTGTAAAGATTTGTTATGGACACCACTCCTATTAGCTGAGAGCTAATTTAATGCTATCTCTTCTTAAAGTAATTATGTTCTGCATTATTGACAATAGGTTATACCATCATCTCTCTCTCGGCTAGAGGCAGACATTAAATTGGTCTGTTATTCTAACTCATTCCAACTCATTTAATGAATGCCTACATATTTTTGAACGTACAGCCTTGCAGATGTAAATGAAAAATTTCAGGATCCAGATCTGCTAGTAAATGTATGGTTACTCAAGAGGGAAGAAGTGACACTATGCTCATGTTTAAAGAACTGAATCCAGGGACAATCTAAAGACCTCACAAATTGGTTCTGGAATCCATGTGGAACATGGAGTAAGCTCACAACAAACATGGTGAAACTCACTTCCACGTAAACGTATTATATCACATTCAAATCCATTTCCTTTTTGCTTATTAGGCATTGTGCAGTTTTAATAGCCAAAAAAGCTTTTCAGCTTGATCATAACAGCACAAAATAATGTTATTTGTTGAATAATTATAGCTAAAACCAAGGTACAGCAATTTGAAGCCACTTAAAATAACTGTAATATGGAAACAGATAGCCAGGACTACTCGCCCACCTCCTTTTTCTCATTCTGACTGAATGATTGCAGATGCCAGGTCACGTGGTAACATGCTCTGTCATTCAAATTCTTTTCTGTTACAGATTAATTAACTATCCAGAAAATAAGGTCTAATCTACTCATTCCCCCCAAACATTAGTTTTTTTAAGTACAGACAATTATTTTATAAGTTAGAAAATCATTTGATTTCTTGGTCTGTGCATGAAAGGGGAAAAATTGTTCATAGCTTGAGAAAATGAAACATTTTTAATAAGAATCTTCTATCAGAACATTTGAGAGGACTGTGTTCAGAAACCAGTAAAACATGAATCAGTTTGAGTGTTCTGCCACAGGGAACAAAGAAATTCAAAACAAGCCCTTCAATCCCTTCTTTTTCATCTTAGGAGCACACATTTAGATAGAGTAGTAATTCATGCTGAGTACCTATCAGGCCTACAGAAAAATCAGTCACTTGATGTTTTGAAAGGCTCCCATCGCACATAACAGAAGCATCTACTAAGCATGTTTTTGCAGGCTGACCTCCTGCACAGCCGCAGAACTAAATCAAGAAAGGAAGCCACAGCAATAGATTCATCTCAGCACAGCCCATGGACAACATTAACAAAAACAAAGACATACACCACTGGGTAAAATATATATATCTACCTAATGCACATGAGCAGTGTATACTTTTTGCCCTTGGCAACCCACTGCAAATCTCAAGAAACAATCAAGGGAACCCAATGTTTGCATTTGGCAACCTGAAAGCTCAATAGGATAGCAGCACAGTAGTTGCCTGATGTCTATCTAAGACACCCCAGGGCAACAATATTCTATTAACACCCATCAACTCTGATTGCCTTACAGGATAACATGCACTGTAACTTAATCTCAGCACCTATGCTTAACTAATTCTCCCTCACCCCTTCTCCCTTTCCATCCTCAGCCAACTCTAGCTAAAGGCAGCGGGGACAGAGTTTTGTCTGCTGTATTAGCTAACCAGACCTCTTGGTTTGGAGAAATTTTAAAAAGAAACTAACCAATCGTAGAACACTTTTTCACTCAGAACAACACTTCAGAATATGGAGTATCTTCTTGTGAGTTTGGAACACACAAAAGGATTGTTTTGAGTTCGGGACGTTCTTGCCTAGGGCTGTTGAGGTGACATTTTCAGTTTGAAATAACGGGCCTACAATTTGATAATCTCAATGAGAATTCTTATACGCGAAACTTTATTTTGTTTCACTTGCTAGTTTGCGGTTTTAACAGAACTCAATATTTATTCAGTGCATTCAAAATCAAACAAACCTGAAGAACTGTTTAACTTCATTTATATGAAATATATAAAGATAGAGCTACTACACAGAGATAATTCAGTTCAATTCAAACATAACTGCATTTGCCACTGAAAATGATTTTGAAGTGGAAGGAGCCCCATTAGCCAAGTGCACCTGAATCTAGCTGCTGAGAGGGTTTGGCAAATTGTGTTGTGAGGCAGTGTGCAGATTTTATTATGGGAGTTTCCTCCATAATTCAGCTTTCTTTTAGAAAAGCTGAATCAGGGCTATATCCACATGAAGCCTTCACCACTGATTTATTTAACAATTTTAGTACCTACCCAAATCAAAAGACTCTGGACATCAGTAACATTTAACTATTGTACAGCTGAAGGGTTAGTAAAATGGACCATCTCCAGTGATCTTCAAAACCCCATAAGGGAGAGAGCTTTACAAACTTCTGGGGATACAGAGCTGCCATCTTGTCCATGTCTCCTAACTTCAGCTTGAGGGGGGACTCTTAACAGGCCTCCCTGAGATATTCTCACCAGATGGGTGGACACAGTTCTGGCAAGCGGTGCCTGATACAACTCAGAGCTACATAGATAAGGCTCTGTAGATCATCATCAGCATTTTTAATTGGGCCCAGAGGCAACTTCAGGAGAGATGTTACTGTGCAAGGATGGGGCTGACTCACCAATAATCTTGTTGCCACATTCTGGACTATTTGTTGCTTCAGGTTGATCCAGAGGCTGGCCCTACATGTAGAGCATGGTAAAATCACCTAGCCAAGTGATGATCAAGACTCCTAAATAATGCTTGAACCATCTTGAGTACTTGTCTGTTTCTAACTGTAGCTCACAGAAAATTGCACTGTAGCATAGAACGTGGCTTTTGATTTTGTGGCTGGTCCCATTTGTATGATTTTCTTTATTTTGCCTTCAGTTATCTACATCTAATAAATTAAACTTAATGATGAATTTGAACTGTTTTTCTATTTTATTTTTGAATACAAATTTGTCAAGTTTATCAGTGCTGGTTTTATTTTGTGGCAGGATTGAACTAATCCATTGCTTTCATGCAGGTTGTTGCTACTACAGTCATGCTGGAACGGAAACTCCCGCGATGTCTTTGGCCTCGGTCTGGTATTTGTGGGCAAGAGTATGGGCTAGGAGACAAGTGGTTTCTCAGGTGAACTCCTTTTACCTAGTTGTATCACTGCCTGTAGGAATAAACTCCAGTGTAGTTAATAAAGTTAGTTAAAACATGTCTGGGCACCTGGGTGATAGGAACATAGGAAGCTGTTTATACCGATCAGATTCAGATCACCAGCCTACTTAATTCAGGCTAAACTGATAGCCAGCTTTTCAAGCACAGGCTTTTTGTGATTCTATTTGGAAATATCAGTGACTGAATCTCAATCCGGAAATTCTGTTTTCCAGCTAAGGGCAGAAACTGAGGCTAGAATGTGAAGTGCAGAAGATAGTAATACAAGCCAGGTCGAGTAATTCTATTACTAGGTTAGTTGCCTAACTATCACAAAGTCCAGCTTTACAAGCCTTTCAGGCAGGTGCATACACATTCCCAACTTGTTTTGTAAAAACTGGATCTCAGCTTCAAACCATCACTTTTGTGACTGAAGATTTGGAGATCTGGATGATAAGAGAGCTTTGTTGATGGCAGCAGAACCTGGAATCTGGTTCCAGAGTTCTAATGCTTGTTGGAGAGAGAAGTTGATCAACTTATTCCAGTTCTGGCCCTTGAACCTGTTTTCTTCATAATGAAGGAACTTGCCTAAAACTGGCATGTCAGTTTTGTGATTTTGGGGGGG